TCCGAGGATATCCATAGGATATCCATATCAATGGTCGATATCCTAGAATGGTCCCCAGGATATCTTGGGATATCCATAGGATATCCCTAGGATATCCATAGGATATTCCTAGGATATCCCTAGGATACCCAAACCGCCGGTCTGTGGGACATCAACATGATATCCCTAAGACATTTACAAAATATCTATTGGATATTATATCGCAGGATGTCCGTGGGATATTCTTAGGATATTCACGGGATATTTAATCCTAGAATGGTCCCCAGGATATCTTGGGATATCCATAGGATATCCAAACCGCCGGTCTGTGGGACATCAACAGGACATCCACAGGATATCCCTAAGACATCCACAAAATATCTATTGGATATTATATCGCAGGGATATCCTTAGGATGTCCGTGGGATATTCTTAGGATATTCACGGGATATTTAATATCTCAACATATATTTTTAAAGGTTAAAATTGTTAAGCTAATATATTGAATAATAATATAATAAAAACAAAAATCTTATGAGCTTCTAATTTATTTTAAATGAAGATTGGAAACGCATTTTTCAAAGTTTTTAAATAAACTCATGCACTTAATTAATATTAATAGTTATTTGTTATTTGCGAGGAAGAATTTATATTGTTTAAAGCCAATTTATTTTCTGACAATATTAAGCATATGAATAAAGGAATGAATCACGAATGAGAAAAAAATTAGTTAATAATTTTTCAAATTAAACAACTTTCTCGAAAAACAAGTTGCATTTTATTTTATTTATATAAAATTTAATTCACAGAATATTCCCACTCGTAGTCTCATAATGACTTTAAAAACAGTATCCTGAGAATATCTTCTTGACATCCAGAAGATATATTGAGAATATCCTGAAAATATCTGTGGGATATCCTGACGATATCTATGGGATATTCTGATGATATCTGTGGGATATCCTGACGATATCTATGAAATATCTGGAGGACATTTATGAAAGTCTATAGAGATATCCAGAAGATATCCTGTGGATATCCTCAGATATCCAGAAGATATTCTGTGCGTATCCTCAGATATCCATGGGATATCCAAAGGATATCCAAACCGCCGATTTTTTGGATATCCTTAAGAGATCCTTTTGTTATCCATAGAACATCCCTAGGATATCTGCGGGATATTATCAATATATCCCAAGATATCTTGTGTTATTAGGGATGCATGCTTCATATGCATTAAAAGGAATGAATTTACAAAAATCGAATTATATTGCTACTTATCTACGATTATTATCAATTTTGTCATTTTTTGATTTTAATCTCATTTATTCCTTTATTTTTTGAACTTCGACGGTATTTATTTAGAAATATCGCTTTTTGTTTATTTTTCGTCAAAAATTCTCGTGTCACACAAAAAATTTCCCAATATTGTCAAGTACTGCTGGAGTCATAAAGCGACCATTAAAATTTAGAAAATAGTAACTTTAAAACTCCAGCAGTTTTGAGTGGCAGTGACGTCACGTGAAATGCTCCATCGTTCGTTTCATCACCGTAAACATCTTTTTAATCATCAACCTGAATGGCGAACTTTTAGAGACTTCTTTCAAATTTATACTATATGTGCGACTGAAAATATTTTTTGTCATAAAATTGCTAACAAAGTTTATTATGAAATTGAAAACAATATTCGAGGAGGAATTGGTAAGTCGATATGTCTGACTATGTTAAGGAAAAAGAAACATTAAATTTAAGGAAATACTATATTGATTTGTTGACGGAGTCAGTAGATTTCGACTAAATATTATTTTGTTTATTATTAAATTCTAAATAAGTTCGAGATTTAATTAAATTTTCTTCTTTCTTTTCTCATTAATCATTAAACTATAAAGTTAAGTCAATAAAAGTGAGTACAAGTTTACTGTCGAAGTCATATAAGAAAATCCAGTCGGAATTATTCTTCAATGAGTTACATCATAGGTCAGTGCAGACGAATTGGATTCAGTTCGAGTTATATATTTTCACGGAAATACCAAACTCCAGTGTGTGTTGTGTTAACGCTCATAAATTTTACGAGACGGAAAACGTCATTGAAATCCACAATCGGAAACGAGTCACCTGTACGACTTTCTTCTTTTTTCGAAGAACAGTATTGTAAGATTATTGAGTCACCAGCATCTTTTAAAAGGTGTGGATCATAAAAAAGAGTAGCAAAATTTTACATAGTTTGACATATTTTTGCATTAGGGAATAAATAAAATTCGATTTTGTGAGCCATCTTAACTTACATCTTCTTTTTTGAATTAATGGCTTCGTCTAAACAAGTTGATTCTTGCTGTTTACGCTTCGGTAATGTTTTTCATTTTTTCGCTAACTCTAGACAATTATACATAAAGTTTTCATTTTCCTACCACAGTTAACACATAAAGTTTTCCTTTTCCTAAGGACATTTAAGGTTAATTCAAGGTCATTCAATGTCATTTCTAGGTCAAGTCAAGGTCATTCAATGTCATTTCAAAGTCAAGTCAAGGACATTCAAGGTCATTTCAAAGAAAAGCCAAAGATATTTCATGGTCATTTTAATTTGATGCCAAGCTCATTTCAAGGTCAGGTCAAGAATATTCAAGGTTAATTTGAGGTTCAGGTCAGTCAATATTATTTCAATATCAAGGACATTCAAGGCTAATTCAAAATGATTCAATGTTATTTGAAGATCAAATCAAGGACATTCAATGTCATTGCAAGGTAATTTCAAGTTCAAGTCAAGGACATTCAAGGTCATTTAATGTCATGTCAAGGTAAAGCCAAGGAATTTTTCATGGTCATTTTAAAGTGAAACCAAGCTTATTTCAAGGACATTTTAAGGTCAAGTCAAGGATATTCAAGGTTAATTTAAGGTTAAGGTCAGTCATTGTTATATCAAGGTCAACACCAGGATATTCAAGGCTAATTCAAAATCGTTCAATGCTTTTTCAAGGTCATTAAATTTCGTTTCAAGGTTATTTAAAGGTAAAGCCAAGGATATATCAATGTCATTTTTAAAGTAAAATCAAGCTTACTTCAAGGTTAGTTCAAGAACATTCAAGGTCATTTCAAGGTAATGCCAAGAATAGTTTAAGGTCATTTTAAAAAAAAGCTAAGTTTATTTCAAGGTCAAGTCAAGGATATTGAAGACTTTTTCTAGGTCAAGTCAAGGTAGTTTAAAGGTCAAGTCAAAGACATTTAGAGTAATTTAAAGGTCATTTAAAGTGAAATTTTTTCAATTCAATTCAACATCATTTTAAAGTAAAGCCAGGGATATTACAAGGTCAACCGAAGAACATTCAAGATCATTTCAAGGTCAAGTCAAGGATATTGAAGGTTAATTTAAGGTCAAGTCAAGGTTATTTAATGTAATTTGAAGGTTAAATTAAAGACATTTAATGTCATTTGAAGGTTAACTCAAGGATATTTTAGATCAAGTAAAGGTCAAGTCAAGGACATTTAAGGTCGAGTAAATGTCATTCAATGTAATTTCAAGGTCAAATCAAGGTTATTTAAATTAATTTGCAGGTTAAGTTAAAGACATTTAAGGTCATTTCAAGGTCAAGTCAAGTACATTCAAGGTCATTTGAAGGTCAACTCAAGGACATTTTAGTTCCAGTCAAGGTCAAGTCAAGGACATTTAAGGTCGAGTAACTGCCATTCAATGTAATTTCAAGGTCAAATCAAGGTTATTTAATGTAATTTGAAGGTTAAGTTAAAGACATTTAAGGTCATTTCAAGTACATTCAAGGTCAATTGAAGGTCAACTCAAGGACATTTTAGGTCAAGTCAAGGACATTTAAGGTCGAGTAAATGTCATTCAATGTCATTTCAAGGTCAAGTCAAGAATATTCAAGATTAATTTGAGGTTAATGTTAGTCAATATTATTTCAATGTCAAGTCAAGGTCAATTCAAAGTTATTCAATGTCATTTCAAGGTCATTTAAAGGTCATTTCAAGGTCAAGTAAAGGTCATTCAATATCATTTGAAGGTCATGTCAAAGGCATTTAAGGTCATTTAAAGGTCAAATATATGTCATTAAATGTCATCCGAAGGTCATTTTAAATTAAAAAGCAAGCTTATTTCAAGATCAAATCAAATTTATAACATCGTTTTTGTACATAAGGGAATATTACCTTACGAATATTTTCTTCAATGATAATATTATGTGTATTAATAGTTAATAAAGTAATGATTTAAGTAAAAATTATTTTCCACATTTATTTTAACTTAATTTCATAATTTTTTTCACAAAATTAATTTGCCGTGTAACAAAATTGTTAACATCACATATAAATTTCAATAGTCGTAATAAAATTTAATTTTGAAAACTTTATAATTTTTTTTTTCTCTATACGAGTTGATAATAGTATGAACCTTCTTTTTTATTCAAAATTTCGTGAAAGATAATAACAGACAACTTTCCATCTCACGGGTCATTTGGTCAGATTTTTTTTCCATAGCAAAGTGTTTCTATCAAAAACAAAAAGAAGAAAGAAAAATAAAACGTCAGTTTGACCATTTCAGTGATATCTAACTTTTAGCCAACGCAACAGCGAGAGGTATTTTTCAGTGCTCCCATTGGGTCGCGAAACACCCAAACCACAAATGATAGCAATAACTCAGTTGGAAGCTTGTGTCCTTTTGTATTTTTCCCTCTTTCTCTCTCACTCTCTCTCTCTCTTTCTCTCTTTTTTTGAAGACGATTCGCGAAACGCGGTTACGACCAATCGCGTGCCTGTTCAATGGCGCGCTTTGTAATTTCTTTTAATTATCTGGGCCATAAGTTATAATCGGATTCACGCTCTTTCGCTTCTTTATCAAGACGGTGTTTCTCCTCCCGAATTGGGAGGGGAGGGGGGGGGGTGGGTTGAGAAAGGATGAACAAGAGAGAGAGAGAGAGAGAGCGCACGGATTGGTCGCAGCACACGAATACTGCACTTTTTTTTACGTGTATTATATCAGCACCGTAGCGGCTGCGTGCTTGGAACCCCGTGGCGCTCGCGCAATGTAGTTCCTCCGCCAACCCTGACGCGGGAGGATCTCTTTTCGAACGGTTCTTCTTCTCGTCGCACTTTTCTTTCCTAGTGATTAATGAAATCTCGTTCCTAGCATTGTCCAACACATACACACACTGGAAACAATTACTTTCCATTTGGTTGGAGACATAAAAAAAAAAAAAAAAAAACACTCAACGAGTGTCACTGACATTTTTACCCCATCCGTCCCTGTAAATCTTTAAGTTTTTTTCCTTACTGAAAGTGCAAAGTAAAGAAAAAGAAAAGCAAAAAAAAAAAAAAAAAGAAACCGGTGTTCAACTATTGGAATAAGTTTTCTCTTCACGTTCTTTTTTTAATCTGTTTAATACCTTGGTGCACAATAAGTTTTCGATACGCGAATGTGAAAATTGGTGTGTCAGTGCAAAAACAATCATATAACACGTTTTCTACACGAGTATATTGAAGGTGTGACATAATACGATAATACGATTTTTGAAAAATTTTAGATAATATTAAAAATTATTTTTATTATTATTAAATAAATTATTTAAATGTTGTAAAAAGATTAGGATCAGCAATTTTTATTTGAAAAAAAAACTATATTTTTACCAAATATAGTAGAAGATGAAAAACCGTAAAGATAGAAAAAAAATTTTTTTACTTTAACTAAAAATAATTGGTACAGCAAAAAATTAATTTACGATAATTTAAAAAAAAATTTGGAATTAATATCAATATTCACAAATGAATATAATTTATTAAACAATTTAAATGAACTACAAATACAAAGAATTTAAATATTTCCACATAAATAGATAAAATATTTTCATATACAATAATATATAATAATAATAATAACAATCCTAACAGTTACGGATATTTCCGGATATCCTACGGACGATCTTAGGATATCAACGGATATCCCTGGGACATCCTATGGATATCCTAATTGGCCCGGACCAGATGATATCCTCAGAACGTCCGTAGGATATCCAAAACATCCAAATGTTATTAGGGACTAATAATACCCCTATTACACGGAATATTCCATTCACATTCCGGGAATATTCCAGGAATATTAAAATGTCCGACCTTCGGAATATTCCATTGGAATATTGAAGGAATATTCCATTAGAATATTGAAGGAATATTCCATTAGAATATTGAGGGAATATTCCATTGTAATATTGATATGTTTCATTGAAATGTTGAAGGAATATTCCGTTGGAATATAAGAGGAATATTGCATTGGAATATTGAGGGAATATTTAATTGGAATATTGAGGGAATATTTAATTGAAACATTGTATGAATATTTTTTTTTCGTAATATGCATTTAAAATTTATCAAAAATTAATCAATAATATTTTTGTAAATTTTAAATGCAAAAACTATTTTTGTATTGTTTCAAAATTTATTTTTCAGAATTAAATTAATATAAATACATAACTAAACGTATTTTATTTCAATGAAGAAAAAATAAAAAAATTTCATAAGTATATAAGGTAGAAACATTATAAAATCAGTAATAATAGTTTGATTTTTCATTATTATAACAAATATTCGTAAAAAGTTTCCATTAAAAAATTCCATTAATATTCTGATGAAATATTCCTCCAGCATTCCAAACGAATATTCCCCAAATATTCCAGTGGAACAATCCATTAATTTTCCGATGGAATATTCCCTCAATATTCGAGTGGAATATTCCGAAGATTGGACATTTTAATATTCCTCGAATATGGATGGAATCTTCCAAAAGAATATTCCGAATATTCCAATGATATATTCCCGGAATGTGAATGAAATATTACGTGTTATTGGGGTAATAATAATAATAATAAAAATAATAATAATAATAATTTGCCCTTACGCAAAAAAAAAATAAAATAATAATAATAATAATAATAATAATAATAATAATAATAATAATAATAGTAATAATAATAATAATAATAATAATAGTAATAATAAAAATCATAATAATAATAAAAATTATTTTATATAATAATACAGAAAAATAAATTTTCTAACAATATACCAAAACATATACAATGGTAAAAATAAGTGAACCGTAAAATTAGCAATCCCTCTCATGGAATTACCTTAATTTTTTTTTTTTTTTTTTAACATTGGAACACAAAAAAACACACATTTTCTTTTTTGTTCGACAAAATAATCACCTCTTATGCATGAAAAGACTCATATAAGTGAAACTTGGTTACTGTAATTTTTCACAGGAAAAGTGCCTATTGTTTTCAAGTTAACCACTTTTTCAATGCACGATAAGTGGAGTAAAAAAAAAAAAAGTAATATAATTGGCTGTGAAATTTGTCACTTTTTTTTTTCTTAACAATAATTAAGGAAAAACTTGATACAATTAGTTTTGAGTTTGCTATTAGTTTTCTGCTGTTTTTTCTTCTTCTTTTTTTTATTTAATTAAAAAAAAAACTGTAATTTAATTTCAACAATTTTAACTTTATAATTTCATTTAATTAATTAGTAATTTAATTTATTTTAATATAATTACAAAAATTTTTTTTCATTACATATTATTATAATTATTGAGTTTTCATTATAAAGTTAATTTTATAACATAAATATAAAAGTACAACTTTTAAAAAAAAAAAAAATTCACAAGAATGCAAAAAAAAGATATTAAAATAAATGTGTAAAAAATGTACATAATAATTAATTACTTAAAATTGTTATACAAATGTGCAATGAAAGTAGAAAATAAAAAAAAAAAAAAAAAAAAAATAAGAAATGTACATACATAATGAAAGCATGTAATATGTAAAGATAAGGTATAAATGTATATGTAATGAATGTTAGTGAAAAAAATCCCGGAGAGAAGGTAGAATTCATAATAATTATAAATAACGATGTTGTTACTTTTGAGAAAAAAAAAAGTTTTTTTTTTTTTAATTTAAACAAAGTCTTGAGAGATTAAAAGATAAAATTGTAGAAAACATTTTTTAGTTTTATGAAAAAACTTTTTATATTTCACTTTTTATAATTTACCATTTAGTGGAAATTAATTTTTATTAAAATAAACTTTCGAATCATAAATATTCGCAGAAAGTTTAAAAATATAAAATATAGAAATTAAATTTTATTCAGAAAATTGAAATGGTATAAAAATGACTGTTTTTTGATATTTTGCCAAAGAAGAAAAAAAATGTTCGAAAAAAACGTAGTTTTGAGAAAAATGTTGTGTGTTATACGACAGACAAATAATTTTGCTGCATTTCCTTATAAATATGCGATTTCTTAACAATAAAAATTTTTTTTGGCAAAATATCAAAATTGCACATTGTAGTTCAAGTTTGTAATAATTTTTTTTTCTCTTTTTGCACAAAATTTATAAGAATCGAAAATTTTTCTTCTTGAATGAATGAACAAAAATTTATAAAAATTAGAATTATTTGTTAATATTACCTGAATTGACCCTTAACCTGCACCATGGGTCCAGTAGACCCGAGCATTTTATTCTGCAAAGTAAATACCTTTTTTGCAAGTCTTGCTGTTGTGGTAATTTTTTTTCCTTAAAGAATAATATAACCTTAAATTTTTAAGTAATAGTATTAAAATTTAAATAACTCATGAATTTTTAAGTAAAAACGCTCAATTTTTTTGGTTTTTATTTTTCACAATTTTTTTCAACTAACTTAGAATAAATTAATCCCTGTAAAACTAATGAAATTTTAAAAAACACATTATAAGCTACCTCAGATTAAATTTTTGTGCAAAAATATTTAATACTGGCTGTACAATACACGTTTGAATACGTCGGGTCCAGCAGACCCACTGTGCTATTTACGTTCGAATTGTGCCAGTTAAGGGTTAAAATTCTCGATAATTTAAAAAAAACCAGGTTATAAAGTGTTAAATTTTGATCCTCACATAGGTACTATTTACTGACAATAATCTAGAGGATTCATGATGGAAATTGTTAGGATTAGTGATATTTGATTTTGAATGATTCTATACCAATCCGTGGTTGTCATCATTCAAGTAGATTAGAAGGATTTATTGTTTGCATTCTATTTATAGAAATTATTGGTATCTTAATTTTGTTATTCACTTTATTTTTTCTTTTTTTCTATTTTTAGTTTATTTTTCTTAACCATCGTTCAAGTGTCGTATAAAAAATTAGGGAACATAATTAATGAAGCCGAAAACGTATCTTGACAACAAAAAATATATTTTTCATTGCTAAAAAAACATTTTTTCTTCTTGTCGAGTTTTTTTCGTTCAACTAAATAAAAATACTAGTTTCCTTCCACTGCAATTTTTATAAACACATTTTTAAAAAATTTACCTACAACCGTTATAAAACATTCATTGAAAACAATTTTTTCAAAACATCAAAAGTGGTAAATATTTTAATTCCGAGCAATGTTTTTTTTTCAAACAATAGTCAATTTTAAAAATTTAGAATAAAATTCCATGATTTTTTTCATATAGTTAAAAAAAAATAATAATAATAATGATACAAAAAAAGAAGATTAAGGTAATTTCAAAAGGTAGGGAAAAAAATCTTTGGAATTCCATTGTTGTGCAGGACAAAGTTTCCTTCAAAGTCGCAATGTAGATTCAGCGGGAATAAATGAAGCTTGTGCCAGGTTTTGAGAATCAAGTTACGAATTATTCACGTCGCGATGAACGTTAAGAGCCGTAGTCATAATTGAGATATTCGACGGCATGTCCCAGGTAATTAAAATCGTCGACTCTCGTGAATATTTAAATTATGAGTGTCTAACTTTGAAGTTTATGCCGGATAACTTACTCTGATCGAGTTGCAGGACGTCCGGGAGAACTCGAAGAGAACAAAAAAATGGAATGAATAAATTGCGACCGATTAAAGTTAAGTGATTAAATAACGAATTCAGTGACGCTAATTAATTCCGTTAATCCAAAGAAGATAGTGAGGAAGAGAGAGAGAGAGAGAGAGAAAAGATTGGAAGAAATGTTGCCAAAAGATGAGGGGTGGAAGTTTTCTGGAAGTTGAGGAAAATTGTGTTCAAGTGATTTGTTCAAAAATTTGAGAAAATTCCCACCTCATTTTGGGAATTGGGACAATGAGCAAAGAAGCGGGATGCATTTGACATTTGTCGTCACCGTCGGACTTGGAATTCAAGCCAGATAGTGAAGACAGCATGCGAACAAATTAGCGTTGGGCCAAACAAGCGATGTCTGCCTCTCTTTCCATCCTCGTCTGTTTACTATTTTCTTTTGGTAAGTCCAAATCGAATAATCTTTATAATAATATAAAAATTAATATAGTTCATTACAATTTTCAGAATTTGATTTAAATTCCATAGAAATAATGATCATCAATTAATCTCCTCTTCATTGTTTTCATTTACTTCTAATTTTTTGTATTATAAGCAAACATTGAAAGGTTGAATTTAGTGGATAACAATAGACGGAATCTTATAACGAAGTTTTAGATAAAGCTTGACCTATTTTTGTCCCCTATTCAGCAAAAACCATATTAGAATGTTGCGTCACATATTTATACTAAGACGGCGAATAATATAGAGTATATATTTTTCCCCCTCGTGAATAATATTTCATCTTCCAAGAATCTTTAAATATTTTGTTGTAGATATAAATTACCTATTAGGAAATTAAATATCTTCTAATAAACACGCTCATAACATTAAACACCTTCTTGATGTAAATATTCGATATGGTTTCAAAATTAAATGCGTCCTAAATTAGTATTTAGAGGGTTCTAACAATAAAACTATTTAATTGCATCAGAAATCTCTTAGTGCTATTTAGCTATTCTCCAGTTGCAAAATTGCTATCTTTACAATAATTGGGGAAAAGAAACTGAAATTGCAAATTAATTACCAAATCTAGGTTATCCACTTACACAGAAAAAAAGGTGAGTAAAAAGTTGTAAAGATAGAGGATAAAAGTCGTTGGGATACAGGGTAAAGGATAAATTTGTGATGGATAAAAATGTTACTAAAATTTTACTAGAAAAATGGATGTCCCATTTGAGTAAACTGTCTAATTTTAATAAAAATATTAGTAATTTTACACTTAACTTATTAAATCCACAAATTTTTTATAAATAAGTAATTGCATTTGGAAATATTTTGCCTATAATTATTGTCTATTAATAAAAATATCTTTGACTAATACAACTGACAGATGACGACAGTGCGTGAATAAACAGAACTGGGAAATTACAACTCAACGTCTGTATTGTTGCACGAAAGCAGAGTTGGGTAGTAACTGAATTTTTTGTGCACATTAGGCTGTGTCAGTTCATCGAGATATTTCGAGTTCAAGATATGACGTCAGAGGCCTGGAGGGACAACAAACAGACGACACAATGTTATTCTTACGGGGAAGAAAATTTGTTTCCACTTTCATCAATTTTATTCATATTTTAAACACGGAAAACGCTTGTTGACATATAATAAATTTAAAATGTTTGTTGATAATAAATTTTGTTATATATTTTATTCAATTGTATTGATAGATTCTCTCAATTCGTGATAAAATATAAATTTTGAGGTTAGGGTTATTTGTTTACTAATCACATTTTACATTTTAACATTATTAAACAATATCCAGTATGCATGTTATTAAAAAAGATATAAAATATATATTTTAAGTGGAAACTACTACAGCAGTACAAGATTTCAAGTTAGTAAACAAACACCCCTAACCTCAAAATTTATATTTTATCACGAATTCAGAGAATCTATAAATGCAATTGAATCAAATATATAAGAAAATTAATTATCAACACACATTTTAATTTTATTATATGTCAACAAGCGTTTTCCGTGTTTAAAATATGAATAAAATTGATGAAAGTGGAAACAAATTTTCTTCCCCGTAAGAATAACATTGTGTCGTCTGTTTGTTGTCCCTCCAGGCCTCTGACGTCATATCTTGAACTCGAAATATCTCGATGAACTGACACAGCCTAATATGCACAAAAAATACAGTTACTACCCAACTCTGCTTTCGTGCAACAATACAGACGTTGAGTTGTAATTTCCCAGTTCTGATTATTTACGCACTGTCGTCAGCTGTCAGTTATATTAGTCAAAGATGTTTTTATTAATAGACAATAATTATAGGCAAAATATTTCCACATGCAATTACTTATTTATAAAAAATTTTTGGATTTAATAAGTTAAATGTAAAATTACTAATTTTTTTTATTAAGGGGAGGTTCCCATTGCTGAGGCCAAAATCAACAAAAACTTTGACAATTTTTTACGGGGAACGGTTAAGACTTAGTGATGTAGATTTTTCTCTAATAAAGGTACATCTTTGAACTTTTAAAACATATATTTCATTTTCAAAAAATAACAAAATGGCGACCAATATGGCGCACCTAGTAAACAATGTTTTTTTAAATAGGGAAAACGGTGGGCATTCTACAATGCGCAATTTTAAGTCTAAAACAAAAACTTAACATTTTTTAGAAAGGTGACATCCTAAAGAATAGGTTATACCAATAAAATAGTTAAAAAGTTAAACAAATGACAAAATGGCGGCCAATTTTTGAAAACACTGCATTTTTTCATGTTTGACCTCTTGTAAAAAATCTTTATTGTTAACAATTTTATCATATTAAAGGTATAACCCCAGCAGAATTTAGTTACGTTTAATTAGCCGCAAACCCGAAGTTGATTGGTCAAATAGTTTAGACGCTACGATGCCCACCAGTTTCAAGAATCTTGTTTCGAGAAAAACGCGTTTAAAGTTTTGGGAAAATTTTGAAGCATTTTTATGTGTAATATTTGTCTACTCTTAAAAAGCGATTCAAATGTCTGAAATTCCTTACTCGGGAGTTTTTGGGGTCGCTGATTACGAATATGATATCAGATTTTCAAAATTAAAAACGCGGATAAAATATGGAGGAAGACTTACGACCTCAGCGGTTCTCAGCTTCGGAACATCGGTGAGTTCAAGACGCTATGAAAACGAAAATATTCTTCGGATCAAAAAATCGCTTTACACACACATTCGACACATATCGACGCCTCCCGTTGATAAGATGCCCGTTCATTTGTCAGAATAATAAAATGCCAACTCGAGCTCAGTTCAATATGAAGCTAGTTCAATTGTCAAAATAATAAAAGGCTAACTCAGTTTCCGTATAATATAATCCTATCTCGCATTAAATTCGAATTCAAGTTTTCGTAAATTAAAAAAGAAGTTTAAGTCGATCAGAATATTAATTCATACTTTTTAATGATTAATTAGTGATTAATAATTATTAATAAAATAAGAAATAGAATAAAAAACAAATAATAAAATAAATGAAAATAAAAAATATTATTAAAAAAGAAAAAAATTTATTTAGCCTTGAATTATTTATTACTAATATTTTTTTTTATTATAATTTTTTTATTAATTTTTTTATTTTGTTAATCATTAATTAATCATTACAAAATATTAAATAATATTCCGATCGAGTTAAAAATTTTTTATTTTACGAAAACTTGAATTCAAACTAAACTCAATATAACATTATATAATATTATTATATAATGTTAATGATTAATTAATGATTAACAAAATAAAAAAATTATAATAAAAAAAATAATATTAGTAATAAATAATTCAAGGCTAAATTAATTTTTTTCTTTTTTAATAATATTTTTTATTTTCATTTATTTTATTATTTGTTTTTTATTCTATTTCTTATTTTATTAATAATTATTAATCACTAATTAATCATTAAAAAGTATGAATTAATATTCTGATCGACTTAAACTTCTTTTTTAATTTACGAAAACTTGAATTCGAATTTAATGCGAGATAGGATTATATTATACGGAAACTGAGTTAGCCTTTTATTATTTTGACAATTGAACTAGCTTCATATTGAACTGAGCTCGAGTTGGCATTTTATTATTCTGACAAATGAACGGGCATCTTATCAACGGGAGGCGTCGATATATAGTTTTCAAAAAATGCAATAAAAAAAAATATTTTTTTTACTCCCGCAATGGGAACCTCCCCTTAAAATTAGACAGTTTACTCAAATATGACATCCATTTTTCTAGTAATATTTTAGTCACATTTTTATCCATCACAAATTTATCCTTTACCCTGTATCCCAACGACTTTTATTCTCTATCTTTACAACTTTTTACCCACCTTTTTTTCTGTGTTTCACTTTAAGTGCACAAAATTTTCTTTCCCACTTTGAAAGATTCCCTGGAAAGTGCCCCCTAGAGATTCCATCAGAGTTCCGTTGGAACTTCCCATGGAATTCCAACAGAATCTCATCGGAATTCCAACGGAATTTCGTCGTAATTCCGTTGGAATCCCATCGGAAATTCTTTGGAACTCCGTTGAAATTCCGACAGAATTCCGTTGGAAGTTCTGACGGAATTCTGCTGGAATTTCCAGGTGGCACTTTCCAAGGAATCTTTCCAAATGGGAATTCTATTTCATGTGTAATTTACGCGAATGCAAGATATTTTTTTTACCGTCAATTGTCGTCGAAATCCGATCAGTCTGTAATCCAAAACCTACCGATTGATCGGTAAGAAACAACTAAAGGGAGGAATAACAATGAAGCGAGAAGTGTTTCATCACAAATAGATAAATGCATTTAACAAAATAAAATGGAACTCCGATTAGGAAAATAATATAATTAGACATATTAATTAGTAATTATGTTACTAATTATATTACTAATTATTGTATACGATATGGTATTTTCAATGAAAGTCAAGACAGTTTAGTAGCTGTAGGTTTGGATCCGATCATTGAACGTTTGATCTTATGGATGAACGAGATTCTCTATAGGAGAACTGATGAAGTGGGCGTCGAGGTGTTCGGGACAGACTGATGTGAGAATAGTTCAACCGTAACCCATCGCGTGACGTAAGGAGGTGACTAAAGAGAGGACTTTGAGGAATTACTTAACAATGCGATAAACCCTCAACATTGTGAAGAAACTAAGAATAAATAATTCTACATACCAATTGTGAATTAGAATAAGACAACTTAAAGTAAAATTAATTCATTCGAAACGAAAAAAATTTAAATATAATTAAACTTTCATTTATTTTTTCATTTTCTAATACAACAAAACGAGATTCATTGATGATATTAATTGAACTAAATCATTATTAACAGAAATGTCAATTACCACGAGGCATATTATTTTAGATCATATTAATGAGTGTCTGCAACTTTTAAAGGTTGCAGTTCTAATTAGATTCTGATCGTTCATTGGA